ACAGGAGCTGCCATGCACAGGCCAACCGGCCTATTGCAGACTCCTTATTTTCTTATGTTCTAAATGAGATCCCTAACCATCCACTGCTTGATCTGTATCAAATGAGCCTCACACAAGGTATTCTGCCTAAGACTTGGACTCAAGGAAACATAGTACCAATCCCTAAAGCTAACTCTCCAAACTTCAGGCCAATTTCACTCTCATCCGATATGTGTAAAGTCCTTGAAAAGTTGTTCTCAACCGTCTCATGTTTCAAGTCAAAGACAAACTGGCCCCTAATCTGTATGGTTAATGCCCGGGCTTACCACACAGAAATGCTTTGCAGATATCGTGTTCACTCAAAAGATAAGACACAAACAGCCTGCATAGACCTTAAATCAGCCTTTGATGGCCTAGAAAATGGTAGATGAGATTCAATGTGGACAAATGTAAAGTACTCAGTACTGTGCCCTCTGAGGAGCACAGCCCTGTTCACTAGTAGAACTAAGCCATTACTGACAGTTAATCCCCGGGAGCTCAGCCTGCCGTGACCTTTCCTCTAGTGAGGTCAGTACACAGAGAAATGCAGGTAGACAGAGAAATACAAGTAGACAGAGAGAAACAAGTAGACAGAGAAACACAGGTAGACAGAGAGAGGCAGGTAGACAGAGAAACACAGGTAGACAGATAAGTACAGGTAGACAGAGAAACACAGTTATACAGAGAGGAACACAGGTATACAGAGACACGGGCAGACAGAGAAAACTTGGTATGCAGAACACGGGTAGACAGAAACACAGGTAGATGATAGAGAAAGAGCAGGTGAACAAGAAAAACACAGGTATACAGAGACACGGGTAGACAGGTAGACAGAGAGAGGCAGGTAGACAGAGAAACACAGGTAGACAGATAAGTACAGGTAGACAGAGAAACACAGTTATACAGAGAGGAACACAGGTATACAGAGACACGGGCAGACAGAGAAAGACAGGTATACAAAGAAACACACACGTTAGACAGAGAAACAAAGGTATACAAAGAAACACACACGTTAGACAGAGAAACAAAGGTATACACAGAAACACACACGTTAGACAGAGAAAGACAGGTATACACAGAAACACACAGGTAGACAGAAAAGACATACCCGTTTATAAACCAGTACCAGCCGAACACAGCTAGAGAGAGAGAGAGAGAGAGAGTCTGTCCTTCAAACGACAACACCATATCACCACAAAGGATCTGCGGTACCGTGAACATCGGGGTCTTACACAGAACACAACCCTGAGTTATAACACACACATATACAGTACGATAACACACCTGATCACAGTTAGTTGTTAATATAGAAGCGTTAGGGATACATACATACATACATACATACATACATACATACATACATACATTATGGCCTTGAGTACGTCACGCTGTAAGAAGCGACAAAGCTATTTAGTTCCAACCAATACTCTGAATGGTGGTTGGCTTAGTTCTATACTCGCCAATAAAATCTGCTTCACGTTAATATTTGACTAACCATCTTCACTATAACTGGAAAATATTAATTCTTAATAACTAGGAATGTATAAATGAGTGTTTACTAACAGCGTCTTGACCGTATTAGGCATGAACTAGCTTCCCAATCTCTTACTTGATGTTACGGTGCGGTGACTGGCGGATGTTTCTGGTCATTATCAACTTCCTTTCAAATATAATTATCAGTAAATACTTTTCATTGTGTGTTATGGCTGGTGAAGGTTTGTTTAGGGTACATTACTCTTAAGACGCTTTACGTTAGACATTACAATCTACAATACAGTTATTTAGTTGGTAATTTTTTTGGGGGGGTATGGAGAGATCTGAGTATTAAAACAGCCGACCAGTGAGTAAAAATAACGAAATAAAAAGAAACTGTGAGCAAGAAAAAAAACTAGGATTCCATGTATACATAAATACAAGGTTAAAAACACGCTTACTCGACTCAACCTCTCGGATATAAGGAACATCACTGGAGAAACTCTAACACTAACTGGCTCATTAATCTCTCCTCGAAATAATTAACTTTGCATATCATGTTTGGCTAAAGGCTTTAAGGCTGACAACTGTCCAGATTCAAGAAAAGAAAGAATCTCATCTCATACACACATGCAAAATCGTAAACATATGAAATTTATGAGCTGCCAGATATAACCTAAAAACAAAGACTAAATTTAACCTTGCTCAATGACAAGACTGATTGAACGCTAGTAAGTATTATACTCCTAAACAGTAATAGTCTAACTGAATATTCTACGCTTTGAAGATATAAAAGCGAAAAAATAAATTATTTTTACTATAAGACTGACCAAAATCAACAGATATATCCATATAGGAGGAAAGAGAAACTACCCTGAACAAGCCACAAGAATTTATCTCTTGACTGATGAGTAAACACTGTAGGTAAGTTTACGTTAGTCACAAATACACACATATACTGTACACACATGATTACCAACTCACATACAAAACAGCCAGACTTGTTTCGTTGTGGCCTTTCTATTCCCCATTTGCCTTACCGGTGAGGAAATTATGAGAATATTTATTTAAGGAATGTATTGAGCATCGAGTCAGCAGGTGTGATGACTTGGTATTTACCTTTTGTGTGTATAATGGTTAGGTACAGGAGGCGGAGCTTAGGGTAACCATTATATTCCCTCTCGTGTAACTGGCCTGTACAATCTTGCTATTTCTCCAGTCTTGCTTCATCTCGTCTTGCTCACTCTCCAGTCTTGCTCCCTCTCCAGTCTTGCTCCCTCTCCAGTCTTGCTCCCTCTCCTTTCTTGCTCCCTCTCCCGTTCTGACCCCGCTCCAGTTTTGCTCCCTCTCCAGTCTTGCTCCCTCTCCTTTCTTGCTCCCTCTCCCGTTCTGACCCCGCTCCAGTCTTGCTCCCTCTCCAGTCTTGCTGCTCTCCCTCACACTTTCCTTCTCATCCTATGCTGTCACTCTCCCTCCTGCATTCGCTGCTTTATATCAAACATCCCTCTCACCCCTCTCATCCCTCTCACCCCTCTCACTTACTCTATTCGGTCCCTCCATCACCTCCCACACATCCGCATTCTACACACCCCTTCCCTCATCCACATTCCTCCGTCGACCTCTCTCTCACCTTCCCTCTCTCTCACCTTCCCTCTCTCTCACCTTCCCTCTCTCCACTCCCCTCTCTCCACTCTCTCTTTTCCATACTACACCTTATATGACCGCAACAATTTATTCCGTGTTGTATCAGTTAATTTTCTAGTTGCCTAAAGGGTTTTGTAATGGGGTAAAATAATATCGTGTTTATGGATAACAGCTGAAGAATTCTTACAGTAAAGTAATTATAATGATCTCGGCAATTTGATTTAATATGAGTTAGGTTCGTTGTGCTATGATCATTACAGTAAGATTCACGCCCACACGCCCACTTGCTTGTGTTTTAAGGGGGTGTATCACTCTGTGTAAACTAAGATCATCAATACTTAAGTCTATTGCCTGTGGTTCTATTTACAACTCACAGCAGTAATAACAGAATACCTACAGATTACAACACATGCATTTCCTTCCTTAAGGCGAGATCGGATTATTAATGTTGTAATGAGTTACTTCGCCTAGATATTCAAGGTCCCTAAGTGCATATGACTCTGCTTCAACAACTAAATCTTTTAAGCGCATAACATAGTAAGGTTAGGAATTATATGACATTCAACCGAGTATCGTTGATTAATATGTTAACATTAACCTCGTTACCTTGACCTCATAATTATATCAAGATACTTATCTGTGTTCATAATATATTTATCTTCTTTTACCTAATGCAATTATTAGATGAATATTTAAGTCACCTGTTTATTTGATGTTAATATCGCCTATATACAGTAGTGTTTACTGTAATGTTTTAATGTTTATCCATCCTTACTTGAAGAGAGGCGAGAGTTCTTTCATCCAGTCAAATCTTTACTTCTGCTTTCCCAAACTTTCTATTCTCAGTCAGCATTTCTTCTTAAGCTGTTACTCCTCCTTTAGTCATCGTTAAACCCTAAAAGAATATATTGTTAATATTTATATGTATGAGCTATAATAGATCATGGTTATGTATCTCATGTTTATCGATATGTAACCCTGAACTAATACATGTAGTATTTTCATCTAATATCCAGATCAGCGGGACTTTCACTGCTAATCGAGGAGGAGTGTCGGTTGATGACCGGTACGCCCACCTGTTGAATGTAAACACACACTCAACATGAGCAGTTAATAAAGATAACTGAGAAGCCACAACGATAAACTGACAGGTATCTTTTACTTAGAAATATTATCGTTCTGAAAATTCTGTTTCTCATAATATCATCTGTCTATACCGCCTATACTGTCTATAACTGCTCTTTAAGTTTTAGAGTCAACCAACACATGGGTGCATTTTAACCGCGTGCGACCTCAATACTGGATCCAGGTTCAACGCGCCATAGAGATTAAGTTCGTCAACATTCACCAGTTGTATGTGTTATCGTACAGTATTCCTGTCAACAACAACACCATTTTTTCCTCCGATAATAACACCAATTGTATTTATATTCCCTTAAGTTATCAATCACATTTCTTTACTTTGGTTTATAAGGGTACTGGATATATCAAAGAAACCGGATACAGAGTTTTCATTAATAGTTCTGGAAACATTGATATTGTGTGGGATCTGTTTCAGCTCAGTGCGGAGAATCCAACCAGCTGACCTTCTAGGATTGGCTGATGGCAGTAAGGGGGAGAGGGAGAGGGTGGATTGGGGAGGCAAGGGGGTGAAATCAGGAGGGAGAGGTGATAGAATGGGAAGGGAAGGGGTGGAATGAGGAAGGAAGGGGTGAAATGAGGGAGTGGGTGTGGAATAAGGAAAGAGGAGGGTGGAATAGGGAGGAAGGGATGAATGTGGATTGGTGAGTGTGAAAGTGGGAGGGTAGGGGTAGAAGTGAGAGGGACGGGGGGGGACACAGCGTCGTGTTGCCAGTTACAACTCAACCATGGACATTACAACAGGTGCTTGCGGTCTGTCGCCGTCCACCGCCACGTCAGGTAACTCCCTCACTCCGGCAGAGAACGATGACGGAGGTATCCAAACAAACCCGGAAGTTGACAGCGATAGTGGGCATGACCGTGATCTCCCCCCTATACCTGACCAGCCCAGCTCCAGCGTGACAAGTGATGACGAGTGCAAGGTGAAGTGTGACATAGATAACGTAGAGCCACTATCTGAACCCAAGAGCACTATGGCACCCAATTTAGTAAAGGAAAATAGTATTTCCCCTGCTGAACCTCCCTGTAAGCCGCCGAGAACCAAGAAACGAAGCCTCTCCACACAACAACCCGAAGTGAATGACAACAAAATCCTTGAGAAAAATGCAATAAAATCACTACCGCAAAATCAGAAAGATCCCGATGATAAACCACCAAAGAATCTTGATGATAAACCCGAAAAGGACAAAGTAGTAGACATGAGTGGTGAGAAAGACTCCGGTGTAAAGCTCAGGAAGGAACTGGGCTTGGTTGACTGTGTTGGTCTCATCGTCGGCAACATTATTGGTTCTGGCATCTTTGTTTCCCCCGGAGGTGTGCTGCACTACTCGGGCAGCGTTGGCATGTCCCTGGCTGTGTGGGTCGCTTCTGGGTTCGTGTCCATGGTAGGGGCTCTCTGCTACGCCGAAATGGGTGAGTATTTATGCAATTAAAACCATAAAAAAATATATCATAAATATGGAACTTGTATACAATAATACCAAGTCATGCAATGGTGCGACCTCCCAGATGGTGTAGAAAATCTCACGGGTGTATTTATTGGTCGTTGTTATTCACCTTGGACACCATCACAAGTTACTTCTACTACACGATCCCACACGACACGAGATCAAGTAAACTCGTACCTTGTTTAGTATTCCATTTTTTTCCGGGATTAGCCAACCCGGGCACAGGTAACTGACCCACATCGGGACCCGGGGGCGAAAATGTAATAATAATAACACTAATAATAATAATTAGTTCATAGTAAATAAAATTTATAATACAAAATACAAAATTAAAAATATAATAACAACAATAATAATAACAACATTGATAATAATAATAATAATAATAATAATAATAATAATAATAATAATAATAATAATAATAATAATAATAATAAAGAGCCATAAAGAAAAACAAAAATGAAAAAAGACCAATAGTGAGAAACGATATACTGTAGGTATGTTGTGTTGTCAAAGTAAGAGAAATATTTGAGACCCTACAATTGTGTGTAAATGAGGCAGAAAGTCAAATCAGCAACCTGGGACTTGGTCACAATTTTTGTGATGCCATATGGCAGCAGGGTCTACCATTAAACAATACATAATGCTTCTAATGTCTTCCCAGGCGGTAATACCTCCCTGTTTGATAGCTGCCTACTACCTACTACGGTAGATTCTCAATTATAACTTCAGTAACCCTGATTTGACTGTCATTTTTTGGGCTCATACTCAAAACTCACAGAATAGAACACAGTCTTCACTCAAGGGTAAAGGCGGAGGCGATTACGAGAAATTTAGAGTTGAATCTCTTGTTGACCATTTTCTCTCGGTTCTCAAAATTAATCTCTTAAGATATGCTGTCAACTCTACCTTTACACTCGAGTGGAGCGAAAAGTGTGAATCCAGCACAAGGTTACCCACTAGCTTGCCCTTATCCTCCCCCCCCCCCTTCTATACTTTCAAGCAGCTGGGAAAGGGGGGGGGGGGGAGCTAAGCTTAGGGTCAAGGCCAATCTACTGTCTGTGTTTGTTGTCTCCTGTGTATAGGATAAACACACAGACACACATATACACACGCTATACTGTATCTCTTGACGTTATAGGATCCATGAGGAAATTGCCTTCCCTATTATGATACAATTCAACAAAGATATTCATGATTACTTAATGGGAGGATGTCAACAGAAACATTGTACTCAGCGTCATTAGACTCAAGGAAGGGAAACACCGGCTGCAATTTAGTTATCCGTTTTTTTTTCCTTTCTACAAGCAACAGAAATCTGAAGTCCCAGATTACGAAGGGATATTACCAAGTCCTATACTAATTTGCCTGTTTTTGGCCGATTTTGCCGATTTGTATTGATATTACCGATTCGTGCCGATATTAAAGCTCCTTGACAGAATTAACTTATATCCCGTTTCTTCAAATCTATCCACATGCAGCAACACCGCGCTTCATCACCCACAACCTTACAATCTGTTTAACCAAGAACAACCACTCATTCTCACACACCCCTTGAGTACATAACCCAACACAAGCACACCTTTTAGCTGCATGTCTCTAAACTAACAAACAATATTCATGGCCTTCATATACATTAACATTCACAAGTTACCACCAACACAGATACACCTTTTATTTTCTCTCTCTCTCTCTCTTTTTACGGGGATTAGTCCACCCGGGCACAGGGTAATAATAATAACAATAATAATAATAATAATAATAATAATAATAATAATAATAATAATAATAATAATAATAATAATAATTCATAGTAAATTAAATTTATAATAAAAAAAAAAAGTAGTATAAAATAATAAAATAATAATGATAATAATAATAATAATAACAACACTGTAATAATAATAATAATAAAGAACCATAAAGAAATACAAAAATGAAAAAAATATCAATTGTGAGAAATAATATATGTATGTTTTATTGTCAAGTGTAAGAGAAACGATTGAGACCCTGCAATTGTGTGTAAATGAGGCAGAAAGTCAGATGAGCAACCTGGGACTTGGTCACAATTTTCGTGATGCCATATGGCAGCAGGGTCTAGCATTAGACAATACATTATGCTTCCAATATCTTCCCAGGCGACGCCCACAATACAAATATACAGCATTATCTTGTTCTTATTATTTTATTATTCTTAACCTCCCATGACTCTTTTAAAGGTAACTCAGCCAACAGGGAACATCACATCCTCTTAATCTTTCCCAAATGACAACAGGTAAATCGTTATCTTCCTCCTCAGGTGCAATGATCCCTCAGAGTGGGGCGGAGTACACCTATCTACATGAAGCCTTTGGACCTCTACCTGCTTTCCTTCAGGTTTGGATATCGGTTATGATCGGTATACCAGGAAACAGAGCGATTGGGTCACTCACCTTCGCTAATTACGTCCTGCAACCCTTCTTCCCGAGCTGCCAGGGTCCTCCCGATTCTGCTCTTAGGATCGTGGGAGCTCTTCTTATAGGTGAGTAGGAGTTACATGTCGGTGATTTTGGTGTTAATGGTGATAATCTGTGGTGTAACTATAGGTCTATGTCAGTGGTAGGCCTATGGTCATATCATTGACTGTGAGGAAACTATTACTGTGTGTCGCTATGGAAATTTAACCTATATTGATGTATGTGTAGCGAAGATATTTTGAATTAATTTCATGTTAGTAGTCATTATACAGAGTTAAACAACAATGAATCCAGACCTGTACTCGATTGCAATACACAATTGTATTAATTATTCTCTTGCCAATGCTACATCGTGCTGTACATGACCCGAGTTCTCAAACGACACCAACATAGTATAAAAACTCAACGGATATTACATTCGCTTACCAATAACACTAGCATATTTTTTTTTAATGTTTGAGAATCAGAGAGTCTGTATGATACCTACAGTACACCACATCTGTAATTACCTACACTACAGCTGCACTATACACACGTCTCTCCAGTTACGCTGACGTATATCAACTCAAGGAAGGTGAAGTGGGCGACAACGGTGCAGGATGTGCTGGCGCTGACGAAGGTGTTGGCTCTCATTATGATCATCGTCGTAGGAATCAATCACCTTGCCAGAGGACGATCCGATAATTTCGCTGACCCTATGGCTAACACTAACTGGAACCCGGCTTTTATTGCTACGGCGTTCTACCACACACTCTACGCCTACAGTGGTTGGTAAGTGTAAAAGATATACCATTGATATATTAGAGATAGAGAGCTCATATATCCATCACTTAAGACTTCAAACTGTATCCGGTCATGTTGTCTGTCTGAAAACTTGTCCTACAAAATCTCTAAGCTGGATTTAGATGCCAAGGAAAATTATATATTTCAGTGAAGTAGATTATAATGATTGAAATAGATGATAGATGTTGGTGAACAAGGAGTTACATATAGTTGGTAAAGAAGATGCATTACAACGTTGAATAGATCTTTGAGATAGTTAGTGATGATGATGATAATGATGATGATGATGATGATGATGATGATGTGTACCAAGGAATACTTAGTTATAAAGGCTATTAAATATGGACAGAGCCACAAAAAGTGTATTACATTGCCGTGATGGGCTATAACACTGAATAGGTCGTTGTAATGGAGCCTATGGGAGATAACTGTCATTTAAGAGAGTTGTTAAAGAATATAGGTATCAATGAACCCATAACATTGCTGTCATTTTCAACGTAAAATATGATTCTTGCCAGTGAACTTATTTGTATAGAATGTTAAGGACGATGAAAACACTAATGAACAGTTATTGAGGTACATGTTATAAAATATAGGTATTTGTTGATGAGAACGTGATACCTACATGACTTATTATTTATAGGAGGCAGGTGTACACAGGTAAATGTGTTACTATGTGTGTTTTAAATAGTACTTCACCTTGCAGGGACAGCCTTAACATGATCATGGAGGAGCTCAAGGATCCCTTCAGGTACGTCAGGAGTCGTCCCCTTCACTCGTGCGTTTACGGGAGTTCGTCAGGTTTTGTGCAGTGTGGCAGAGCTGTGTTTGTTTACATTCGACAGAAGGAAATTCGCAATAGTAAACTATGGAATCAAATTAAGACAATATTAAAACAAATATCTCAAAAATAATGATTTTTGGAATGTTTATATGACGAGCCCTTGTAAACGCACTAGTGAAGGGGACTGTACCTAACTTAACAGCTGGGGAACTGAATGTGGTCAAATGCTGTGCCGACCACAATACCTCCTTATATACCTAAGGCTGTAATAGGTATAACAGCCCTGTTTTACATATACTTTAAAGCTTATCTGAAAATTATATAACCTAATCACATACACACACACACACACACACACTGATGGATATCTCATGATCGTGTTGTTACAGAAACATGCCCAGAGCTATCGCCATCTCCCTCTGCTCTGTCATGGTCATCTACATCCTCACCAACGTCGCCTACTTCGCCGTCCTCACGCCACATGAAATCCTCTCCTCAACTGCCGTGGCGGTGGTAGGTTCTCAACCACACCCAGTCTTTCACCCACCTATTTTCTAGCTTTATACAGTATCTCTCTCTTGTCTGTCTGTCTGTCTGTCTGTCTGTCTGTCTGTCTGTCTGTCTGTCTGTCCATTTAACACCTGATAACCTCATGTATAGAATAACTTCACATTCCTCTTCCTTCAAATTTCCGTATTAATTAAGTAATAAAAATCGCTTAACTCCAATCACGATTTAACCTTCCTATGATTTTGTATTCCTGTTGTTGTTATAATGTTATTACTGCGCTTCAACAACTAAGGTCTTGAAGTGGGTGATTAGGTTAGTAATTACACGCTAATATTAACAATTAGGTTTTATGAAAGATAAAACTCTCTAAATATTGTTGATATTAAACTCACTACCTGGGGACATTAGATTCATTATTTTAATATAAACAAAAATAACAATGTTTATATACCCTAGAGTCCAGACTGAGAATAATTTATTTAATGACTCTTATTAAACATCTCATTTAAGTGCATTTTAATTAGATCAGTATTGCATATATTAATAATCAGCTAAAATATGATTACTCTTGGAGGCATCTTATCCATTTACGATATTCCTCAAGAAGGATTTAATAAGAATTGACTTGCATCAGTGTTTCCTGTTGTCATCGTGAGCTACACACAGTATCACCAACTCTCAGTAACATCTGATAGTTCAAGTAGAGTGACTCTCAGGTAACATAGTAAATATTCGACTTTCAGAGACTCATGGAAAGACACCAAGACATAGCCATAAGATACAACTAAAAGACATAACCAAGAAGAAAAACTGTAGTAATCTCCTTCAGAACGCATATAATGCCTCTTACTTCCCCAGGTTTTCGGAAATCTGACCTTGGGTGTCATGGCCTGGACGATTCCGATCTTCGTGGCGTGTTCGACAGGCGGGGGACTCAACGGGAGTATCTTCGCAAGCTCCCGGTTACTCTTTGTCAGCTCCAGACGCGGTCACCTCCCAAGGGCTCTATCCTTCGTGCACACCGAGCACTACACCCCAGTCATCGCCCTCGTATTTTCGGTAATTTAATCTAAGTTTCTATTAAGTAGTACTCAAGAGTCTCAAGGGACAGATTCTTTATACTCCCTTTTATACACTTGGTCACAACAACGTACTTCACTTATCTGTCCGGGACTCCCTCTCAAACAAACGGAGCGCACGGCCAAAACCCATTATTTTTCAAGAGATTGATATGTGAGTTGGTAGAAGTTCCACATCTTCTAGGAATATATCGGTGATCAGTGTCCTGTTGATGACTTTTCTATTTATGTTTCTTCCTGACTGATGCTTAATAATCATTTACCACTACCAGCCGCAGGTTGGCCAGGTGTCTCCAGCAGTAACCCATCCTTTTCTCTTCCTCTCCCTCAGGCCTGCATCTCTATGTTGATGTACGTGACCTCTGACGTGCGAGTTCTCATCAATTACCTCTCCTTCGCCCATAACCTGCTCGGGCTTGGCTGCATCGCTGCTTTCTTCTGGTTCAGAATAAAACAACCAGATCGCCCCAGGCCCATTAAGGTGAGAATAATTATAAAATGGCAACAGCAGTGTGGAAAGAAATGTAACTTCAGGTTATGAAGTGGAGCAGAAACAGCCATGCCCTCATCACTGTAGTTCAGAGGCTCACGATACACTCTTGGTTGTGTTGTTGGAAAAATGGCTTCAATCAGTCATCCCTCCCTTACTTTCGAACAGTCTCTCAAGTACGATTCCCATATTGACCTGATTTCATTTGACAGTTCTATACAGTTCATCACATATGACAATTATAACATACCTGTACTTGTACCTACAGTGTTATTGTCGTTTGTAATAATCTCTGTCTCATAATGTTGGCTATACCTTTTACTTAATACACACAGGTATGGATTGGCTTCCCTATCGTTTTCTTCTTCATTTCGTTGTTCCTGACTGTGTTTCCGATCATACGTCAGCCGCTGGAGGTATTGGTGGCCTTAGTCGTCTTCGGGACAGGTATTGTCGTGTATTACTTGGCCATCTACCGGGAGAAAAAACCCAAGAGACTCATGCGGACTATGGGTTAGTACCTTACATTGTGTTTTACCTGTCACAGAATACTAAGATAAGAGGGAGTGAGAGATGTTAGACAAAGTTGTACATAGACCTTTTTTTATCTTTCATGGACGAGGCATCTTAAAAAATCTTTAAAAATCCGGAGCAATAACTTATACTTTAGGATTATTGAGCATCAAGTCAAAAATCTTCGAAATATTCTTATTAAAACGTCATATAACATTTGAAGTAGTACTAGCAGAACGATAGCTATTCTTGTAAACATATAATAGGAATTGATCATGTCCAAGAGTCCTTCAAGGTGTTGATGACTTTGCCTATCTTTACAGACAAACTGACGTACGTGTGTCAGATGTTGTTCCTGGTTGTGCCGGAAGAAAAGACGAGTTGAGGCCAGGTGAGATGTTACAGGTGTTGTTGTTGTTGTGTAAGATGTAAGGGTTATGTTGAAGAATAAAATAACAAAGTTAAATTTTCTGTTCTTTGATCGTAATCTTCCTCTTGGTTTTCTTCAATATTTGTCTTAATATTTCTGTTCTTTTAATTGTTTTTATGTTGTAGTTAACATTTATATTCTTTATATAATGAAAGATCTTCCTTACTTTAATATTTTTTTTAAATTTAAGATATTTGGGTCACTCGAAGATTAGGCATCCTAACTTATTTCACTTCAGGTTTAACCACCCTAACATTAACCTAATCTAACTCAACCTTACCTAACCTAAGATAACACTTCCAGGTAGCGTTAGGGGAGTCAATCTTCAGGTGAAATAAGTTTGGGTATCTAATCTTCTAGTGATCTAAATACTTATACCTGATTCATTAAAGAAGCAAGATCAAATGGCGGTTCCATGTCAAGAAAGGAATAGCTTTGAAAAGGTCACCAGTTGTTCTTCCTTTCTATATCCTGAAGAACGGGATAAAATTAGAATGTTCTGAAACACCTGTTGCTTACAAGAACATATAATTTTAAAGCTGAATGTGATTAAGTTTCTGAGAGACCTTATGTTTATCCTAGTTAGATCAAACTACCTGTTACAAATAAATGTTAGTTCATATATTGTAAATTTATCAGACATATAAAAGCGTACACACATTCTAAGAGTCGATGAAGTTTATTAACTTTATCTGGGGGTTCCTTACAGACACAGCATCTCGTTTTACCGAAGAACAAGAGAATGACTGTGGAACTTTGAAGTGACTGATGTCTGACTGAGGAATAGGATTAGAACTATAAACATCAGCATCTAATAAGAACATCATCATTACGCGCGATGTTTAAGCACAACATCATGTCGCGGCCTATCTGAATGTACTGCATGAGACTAAAATGGAGTGGAGGTTGTGGAACAGTTCACAATAGAGAGTTTTTTAAAATACTGTTTATGAGCCTCCTGCTGACAGTGGACACAGGAGATCTGCAGTATGGGTTAACTGTGGACAAGAAATTTCCCCAGTCTGTGCACAATCATTCCACAGACCCACAGGATAAAGAAGACTCATCACAGGAGACTAGGAAGTTCTCCAGAAGGAACGCAGGAACTTTGACAGTAAATACGGATCTCTACATTTGATGCAGGAGCTGTCCTTAGTAGGTACAAGAACCTACCTCAGTGAATGTAGTCATCCAACACTTCCGTCCATTACGATACGTATTCCAGCTGACTCAGAGCCGCACTTTCCTCCCGTACAACTAGGAGCGCTGTGAACTCTCAGGAAATTATGAGAAATAGACAAAAGACATGGATATTTTTTTTATTCTTTACTTTAGTCAAGAATATTCGAGATATAAATTTTAACGTAAAATGAATTCATATTTAACTATTATTTAAAAGTACAAAATGAAATCCGAAATTCATCATCGCTAATGCCCAGAATTGTGTCAGAATAACCTTGCATGGTTCCCAACGCAGACTTTCTGTATTTGGAAATGTATTTCACTTATGTGGAATCAGAAGTCCCACTTAATATTCCTTCATGAGATGTTCGTGGAGAGCGCAGATGTTAAAACACTGTCACTCATAAAACACACCTGCCACTCAAAATATATTCTTGACACTCATAAAACACTCTTGCCACTCATAAAACACTCTTGCCACTCATTAAACACTCTTGCCACTCATAAAACACTCTTGCCACTCATTAAACACTCTTGCCACTCATAAAACACTCCTACCACTCATAAAAAAACTCCAAGATATTTCTCAAAGTAGAGTCGTCGTTGTTAAAACTCTCCAGTGACCATTAACAAGCATCATGGTACTCTTCTAACATTACACCAGGTATATTGTTTCCTCAACTGTTACAAGACAGTGAAAGTATATCGTGACAAGGAAGTCTATGGGAATGACTGACCTGCATAATGAAAACTATAACTGAAAGAGATGATGGAAAATGCAAAAAAAAAATATATATATATGTTTATCTTAATATTATCATGAACTGTGTTGTACTGTGATATACAGGGTATATACATTTTACCATACAGTATATTTAATGTTTAATTGGGTTTTATTGTTATTGATATGTTTGTATTTCATGATATGCTGTATATTTCTGTTGGGTGTTATATAATACTAGATTTTTTTAATTGTTATTAATGTCCCAGTGAATACCTTGAAAGACAATGTTGAATAATTTTTTTACTTTTCACTCTATTCTTAAATCAAATGGTAGACCAGTTCAACCTATCTACTAACTTTTATACTTTAATTCTACCTATTTACTAACTCTCATTGACCAAGTCTACCTATTTACTAACTCTCATTGACCAAGTCTACCTATTTACTAACTCTCATTGACCAAGTCTACCTATTTACTAACTCCTATAGACCAATTCTACCCATCTACTAACTCTTATAGACCATTTATATCTATCTACTGACTTATTATAAATCAGATTATATGAGATACACTGCTGCTATAACGTATTATAAACCGTAAGAATAAACGCTGTTAAATCTTCATATATATTTACTTTTTCATTCAATATAGGTGCTGAAAGAAAACGTGAGGATATAAATTTAAAGAAAACGAACTTTATGGGTAACTCAACCTAAGTTTGGAGGCGCGAAGTAATAAACACCATTTGGAAGTTTATACACTACAGATTTCCTCAATATGGACAATTAAAAATAGTTCAGTTTGCCGTAAAATAACTATGAGTTCTTAGTGTCTGATGTTAAGTCAAGTTCGTATAATAATATATACAGTCGTCAACATCAACGTAAGAATGATTAATATCGAAACATTTATTTGTCTTCTTGTAGTAAGTCCATTTTGAAGTGGGATTAGAGTATTTCCGATCGATTGATGTATTTAGAGGTGATAATGTGGAAAAGGTAGATATTTTATGCAGAAATTAGGTCGCAAAAATAGGTAGTAATAATAATAATAATAACCTACAGGTACACTAGTGACGTTTCAGTTCCTCTTATTCTTTAACACAACACAAATATTGAACATACAAGCATCTTTAGTACTGACAACGTATATCCTAACCTTAGTTGCATATATGACACATACTGTATATACATATTGAAATTTACACTAGTGCAATATACACAATGTAAAAAAAACACACAGGTAAGAGTAAGGATGTATTTATAAATATTATTACACTAGATGAACATTGGAGTCACAGCTGCATAATGAGGGAGTTTGAGACGTCTTGACTAGACATGAATGGCAATATTGGTTGGAGTGAGAGATCAAGTGATGATTGCGTCTGTCAACCTGATGTTCACCTCATAATCGGATCTGCCTCACCACCCAAGGGAAGAACACATACATGCCCCCCCAAACATATAGGTTTAGTAGATTAATTATGCATGAACTGGCGACCAATTTAGTAAATATAAAAAGAATTTGAGTACTTCTGTGTGGGCCGTAGTTAACTAATTTGTTTTTTGCATAGTTTAAAGGCAAATACGATGAAAAAGGAGTATTGCTTTGTGTTAATACATGGTTAAATAGCAATTTATTTTTTCTATGATCTGAAAACAAACTTGGTAATAACAATGACTGTGTGTTGAATAGTGAATATTAAATATGATGACTAAGAGGCAGGGGAGAGGGCGAGAGGGAAGTTGCTGTGAGATCAATGGAAATCACACGTTGTTGTAGGTGATCGGTGTCAGTAAGTCTGTGAGCTTAAGATCTAACCAAAGTGCCCATATCCCCCGGGATATCCGTGATATCCGCCGAATCCCCCGCCGAATCCTCCGCCGAATCCCCCGCCGAATCCCCCGGGATGTCCGCCGAATCCCCCGGGATGTCCGCCGAATCCCCCGGGATATCCGCCGAATCCCCCGGGATATCCGCCGGGATATCCATAGTGACCACCGTATGCACCAGGGTATGGAAAACCAATGCCTGGTTTGTGGAAGTTCAAGTTAAAGCCCCCAGAGAGGAAACGCTTGTTAGGGGTGCCAGGGGTGTCAGCCGCTACCAGGGCGAGACCCACCAGCATTATGAGGATTGTCAGCTTCATGGTCAGCCTGTTGGGGCAAAAGAAATGCTGATGAGAGGAATATCATAGTGACGGATGTGGTATTGAGAAAGGAAGATCATAGGTTATGTGAAGGAAGGGAGGAAGGAATACTGAGCAAAACCTCGGGGTCAGGGTACGTGAAGTAACTGGTGCTAGTTCATCAGGGTGAAATTTTGTGAAAGAAATGACTTTGAGAGAAGTGTGACGATCATATATTCATCAGGTAGAGAGACACAAAAGTAATATGCATCTGTCTGTCTGTCTGTCTGTCTGTGAGAAAGATACCATTTTCATCTACGCAGGATGGAAGAGATATATCAAGGAAAGAAAATACTGTACAGACAGACAGACAGACAGACAGAGTTATAGAAATATATCCATAATCAAATTGAGATATCTAAAGTTACACACACACACACACACACACACACACACACACACACACACACACACACACACACACACACACACATACACACAAACACACACAAGTGGCCCATTCCACAATAATGTAGCTGTATATTTTCAGCCTTACGGCTGCCATAGTCTTTCAATAAACCTTTAATATTAATAAGAATAATAATTATTATTATTTTCATTATTATTATTATTATTATTATTATTATTATTATTATTATTATTATTATTATACACACACGAACATGCATTCATACTCATTTGTAAACTTATGAACATTATGAAAAGGACAAGAGCAATTGACTTCATAAATACTGAAGACAGAGAGACAAATATTATCCCAATATGGTTATGTCTCGATTCTTGTCACTTAAACGACAAAAAAAAACACTTATACTTTTCTCAACTGTAGTAATATGACCAGATGTACACCCACTAAAAAATTATTCGGCACCCGTGTTATATCGTATCACGCCGTAAGGGTGCAAAATAATTTTTTAGTGGGTGTACACATACACTTATAATATCAGAGGAGTCTTCAAGAATACTTACAAGATGTGTTTACAGAGGTGTGGTACGGTTGGAAGGTGTTAGTCGATTGATGTGGAGGTGAGGCAGGTCTGTGGTATATATACACCTACCCACCGCCCACTGCCCCACCCTGGTTACTTCCGCTTACCCACTTGCGTCCCTACCCCCTACCCCCCCACTGCCCCTTCCTGACCAACCTCCCTCGCCCTACCCCTCACCTCCCTCCTTCCCTCCAGTGCCCCTCCCTTACCTATCTCCCCCTCCCTACTGCCATAATTGGGATTCTTCCGCATTTCTTTGTATATGTGTGTGTGTGTGTGTGTGTGTGTGTGTCTATCTCTCTCTCTCGATTACGTACCCAGTACTCTTCTCGTCTCCATGTATCATATGTATTATTATCTCTCTGTCTCTTATCTTCTCTATGTGTCTGATCTATTCCGTATATCATCCTACTGTCTTTCTATATTTCTGTTTTTGTTTTGTTTTTCCTCTATAAGTTAACTGATTTATTTCAAGGTAGAGCACTTTCTTTTTCCTCCTCCTCCTCCTCCTCTTCAATACTTCCCTACGTTTACATCTCACCCCCCCCCCCCCTCTCTCTCTCTCTCTCTCTCTCTCTCTCTCTCTCTCACCTAACCTAACCTAACGACACTGCAATAAACATAAATAAGAAAAAAAACTTCTATTAGCTATCTCTTCCGTCTCCTGGGGGTGCCGGCGTAGGTGGGCGAGGAAGGAGAAGGAAGAGAAGTGGTCAAGGGCAGGCTGGTGTCAGGCTAGGGGGTAATCCCACGCTCACTTGTGTATTGCACGGAGCCCGCCCGACTCCTCATGACTCACAGCGCTCTTGGAGCCTGTTAATGAGTCTTTGTTGATGAAGCCTCTTGGTGTGTTTACGCTGATGAAGCCTCTATAATTGGTTGTGTTGATGAAGCCTCTTGGTGAGTTTACGTTGATGAAGCCTCTATAATTGTTTGTGTTAATGAAGACTCTTGATATGTTTACGTTGATGAAGCCTCTTGGTGAGTTTACGTTGATGAAGCCTCTATAATTGTTTGTTTATGAAGCCTCTATAATTGTATGTGTTAATGAAGCCTCTTGATGAGTTTACGTTGATAAAGCCTCTTGATAAGTTTGCCTTGATGAAGTCTCTATATTTCTTTGTGTTAATGAAGCCTCCAGATCAGCTAAGTCGTTTACAGTGATGAAGCCTTTTGTTTCGTTTCGACCATACTCAACAAACTGTACGAGAATCATTTACATATATGAAACTTCTTAATAATTTACACTAATAACATTTCCTAATTATTTACATTGATGTCATGCTCTTCAGTTACACTTTGTTCCATCACCTCTATATTATCCATATACAATATGCTCCACCTCCACAACCATATATCCATCCTGGCCTCTAATACGAATGCTCCATCTTATTAGGAAGTATATAAAATAAACCTATATTAGTGTATTTTAGGTTTGGTATTTTTTTAAGGATAATAATATGTAATTTTTAATGTCTTGTTATGAAGAATTATTTTTCTGAGTTCTTCTTAAGTGGCGTTGACCGTCAAAGTTGATGAATATAGAATGTAATAGCATTTGACCGCACTAGTATGAAAGTACTGTATGTGTTTGGTGGTGGTGGCGAGACGGGTGACCAGGAGAGTACCTTGTGTCTACTACCTCCAGAATCTTAAGTATATTTTCAAGTTATTGTATACTCTTACTACTTGATTACGTATACCCTTAAAGTTTATTTTAGGTGTTATTAACGAAGTAATTTGTTCTTGTATTTAGTGTTTATTTTTTTATACGGGAATCACTGATTTATTTATTTATTATTAATTTAGAGTTTGAAAGAATATTATGTCTGGCTGGTCGAATTACCGTCTGAGAACATAACAATATATACACGTTATAATTTTGCTATACTTTATAAATGCTATAATTACATACACCTCGATATACAAACTATATCAAGGTTGATGGTTGCTCTTAGAGGTATAAATCGATATCACATCTCTTACTAACAAGTCTGTGCTTATCCTTGAGTCAAGTGCACGTTAATCCTCGTATTGGTGTCAGCTTAGAGCTAATTGGTATCTGTAGGAATAATTTCATGACTGTGGATATATGTAGGTGTGGGGGGAGGGAGACCTCTTGTATATATATGCTAGAACAGATTAAAGTTTTCTCTGCCCAGCTGAAGAAACTTAATTGGTGGTGTGAAATTAGTTAAAAAAAAATTATTTGCAATAGATTGTTGATAAGAGATCAATATAAAATAAAATAAAGGAGTGATATAAAATGGATGAATATGACTAAATAAAAGATAGAGATAATTAGATGGAGGAGATGATTAAATAAAACTAATAAATAATAAAATAAACATCACAAAACAAAAGATGAATTAAATATACTAAATAAAAGACAAATAAATATTCAAGTATATAAATAGATAAAATTAAATACAAAATGAAAACAATACATTGAAATCAGACAACTTAGCCTCAGCTGTCCACGATCACCCTGGGAAAAGAACAAGCGGTCTCTGGGTCAAGCTGAAGGTACACAGGAGGAGATTAATTGAGCAAGGTCCTCGGCTTTCACCTGCGTAGTTCCCCAACCTTAGGACTTTGTTTACGGACGTACCTTTACCTATTTCCGGACCCAAAAAAAAAACCCTCCCTAGCTTTTGTTTTCATTGTTTATTAGTTTAGTATGTTTTGGGGGGATTTTTTTTAATGAGTCTGGTAGCTCTATGAATGTTAATCCTGACTATTAGAAGGGAAAATAACCTAGTGACTTATTCATTCACGTACCTGGGAGTAAATTTTTGCCACGTCACCATGACACAGCAGATTTCACGTGTTAATCAATGCCTCATACTCAACGACACTATGTACTCAATGGTTAGAGCTATAATAGAGTTTAATTAAAAAAAATCATATATGTTGGGAAATAAAAAAGTTGCTTCATATTGTGAGCAAAAACAAAAACTTTCACTGAGACACTTTACGAGGGTCAGTCAGTTCCAGTGAAATGTTCTGGATAAATATAATTAAGGAGAAAAAGAAGAAGATGACAGTAAAAGAAGAAAAATAAAAACAGGAAAAGGAGAAAAGAAATGAAGAAGAAGAAGAACAAGAACAAGAAGAAGAAGAAGGAGGAGGAGGAGGAGGAGGAGGAGGAGGAGGAGGAGGAGGCCGCCAGGTAATGCACTTACTCTCATCTTCGCCAAGAAGAAACTTATTAACAATCCCAGTACTGACTCGTCTCCCCTCCCTGACCACACACCACATTTGACACAGCCCTTTTAAGTCCCGTAACTTCCAGTGTAACTTCTTACTAAGTTTCAGTGATGCCCAGGAAAGAATTCTCCTCACAGCATCATCACCCAAGGATTCCTCCACACTAGAACCAATCATAACTCGGGTCGGCTTTCTCTGAACCAATAAAAACCAAGAATCCACTCACAACAACCAATCAAATTGTTGGATTCTCTCTCGTTAAATTTTACCTAAGGGATATATCATCACTATTACCAATCAGAATCAATGTTTCACCCCTTCTCTAAGACCATTTAACCCCCACTCCCCCCTCGTACAGCCTTTTGAGCCCCGAATCACAAGTCACCATCAATACCAGTCACTTTTAACCTCATAATGACTGGACCTGAGTGGAGAAAATATTAGCCTTGACATCTTACCTTCCTCCAGGGCAAATTCGGGCACTGAGAGCTCCTACGGTGATGCCGTGGGTGGCTGTAGTGCCTGGCCTTCATTCACGTTAACACTCCTGACCAGTTTTTATTCCAGCGCTGATAACTTTTCTCTTGGTACCAATCCCTGTTCACCCTAATCCACCTGTTATTAACCTGATTATAAGTGTGTGGGTGTGAGTGAGTGTGTGTGTGTGTGTGTGTGTGTGTGTGTGTGTGTGTGTGTGTGTGTGTGTGTGTGTGTGTGTGTGTGTGTGTGTGTGTGTGTGTGTGTGTGGATTAAGTAAAGGAAATATATCATCGTTAAAAACAACACTATATCTGAGTTTATTTTCTTCTTGAATTTTACTCAATATTTCATGTGTGTTTTTAATCATCAATGGGTAGTGAAGACACCAAGCAGAGCAAAAAAACAACAACCTTATATTCATTTAGTTTCAGAATAGTCACTCAGCTTCAGGTAGAAACGTGACAATCAGCATGACAAGAAAAGTGTAAAATCCATTCTAGGTTTTTCTCAAGTCTGTGTGTGAGTACATAGTGAGTTTAGTATCTACATGGTGGAGCATAAGTTGGGTTAAGTTATCTGTGCTAAGGAATATAGGTTTAATATTTTGTTCACACTCGACCACTTAACAGTATCAAGGTCAGAACAGGTCATGAACAGAAACTACATAAGAGTATTCTTGTTCTTCATCGTGTACATGTTTAAAACTTTTGAATATTTCGAAAAAAGTTTATTTTCAAATAATACATTTAGCACAATAACAAACTCAGTTTCTTGTATACTTTTTAGCTAATACTTCCTCAACGTCATTTATTCAGGAACATCTAACATCAACATAATGATATTTCATTCGATAATTACGTTCACAAGTTATTATCCAATATGAGTCTTAATATAATCACAGTTTTAATTATTTAACATTAAAGTAACAGTACATAAGTGAAAGGACAAAACAGAAGATTCAGAAACGTGTTTTAGATCGAGATTCTTAATTGAGAGGACACACAAATACTTCCAAATACAAAAGAAACACAATGTCAGAATCTATCCTCCAGCTCCGTAACATACAGCTCACACAACTTTATATCTAAGGACGAACCCGCTGCTGTCTGGCGTCCATCCATGATACACCACGTAGAGTAAGTTGTCTTTGGTGATGATAGGTTGGAGAGTGACCTTCCTCTCACAGAAAATAAGACTTGAGGATGCTGGGTAGTTCTTCATCCCTTCACCGTTCAGTACAAGATAATCTTTTATGCAGTTCGGAGTCGAGGCGATGAAGGTTCTTAGACGAGTGACTTGAATTCGTTTACCCACGGGAGCCTGACGGGGAGAAACACGTGATGAACTGGGTTAGTGAATCAACGAACATCCCGCTTGTAGTCGGCTCATTATTTCAGCTGTGTTACCATCGTTAACTGAGACATTACTGTTAGTCATGAAGCAGATATTTATGTTTCTTTATATGTGAAATTGTTAAATCCTGTATTATGTAATTTTCTCGATGATTAGGTGAAGAAAAATGTTATTTATGTTATAGTAATTTAATCATCCATTATCCCTATCTCTCCCCCTTTCCTTTCTCTTTCCCTCCCATTTTCCCCCTTTCCTTCCATTTCCCTCCCCTTCTCTCCCCTCCCTCCCTTCCTCTTCCCCCCAAAAAGGCTAACTATAAAATCAATAAATGCATCAAAACATTTACCTCAATCCACCACTCACACTGGTACAATCGTCTCTCTTCACCCTTAGGTCGAATGCTGATGTTGCTGCGTGTTGTTGAATTTCTGAGTTGTAAACGCTGTAAAGTAAAGGACAATTACCTCCACACACCTGTTTTTATGCCTACATACCTGTCCTTAGTTCCTCACACTTGTCTTTACCTCTACACACCTGCCCTGAACTCCACTCACTTGTTTAGAATTAACTGGCATTACTAAACAGAAACAACTGATTTATGGGAAACAGTTTGTGGTTACAGATTCTGGGGACTTTGATCAACACTATGAGGGCTTAAGTTTATCCTTGTAGTCAAAGAGAAGCAACAAAAACTTGAGATCATCGTTGTTAGTGTACCTTGTGGCAGCTGGACTTGGTGCCTTTGACACTGATGTTGAAGCCCACGTTGTTGATCTCACTGTCTGTCTTGAACGTCGACCGAAAGTTGAAATTCGGGAGGAGATATTCCCCGCTTCTCTCACCACAGAAACTATTGGGGAGAAATTACCATTGGTGCTAGGATATATCACAAGTCTTCACCGACTAAGATCTCTACGTTTATTTTCTAGATGAGATCAAACATTTCTCTGGTTGTATAGCAAAAGAAAAATCTCTGTGTGCCTGGTAGTGATGAAGAACTAAGGAGATGTTTATGATAAGTGTATAAGTGTATCAGTACTGAGTATTAAAGTCTTGAAAAATATACCCAGCATTACGAGGTTCGTCTCAAACTGAATAAATCAAAGTACATAAGACATTCATGACATTACTATATATCTCTACCGCGAACCAAACCTTCAAAGATATATGTCCATATATCTCGACTGTCCATATAGGAGAGATCATTCACTATGTTTACCCGCCCTTGTACTAAACAGCCCACCAATCAAGACACATAAAAATAATCCCCGTTGTGATTCTTCTTTCAGACATACACACTCACGTCTCGACTCTGCTGTAGGGAAGAGTGAGGCTCACGTTATCACGACATCCTGGCTGGAGTTTAAAGGTGAGGAACTTGATGACTGCCTGGTAGGGTCTGGTCTGTTGAATAGGTTAAGGTGTTAAATACATGTAGAGCAGTTTTACCCATACAGGCCTAAACACATTAATATAAACGAGTATACAGACACATAAACACACACATGAACACATACACACATGAATACATACACACAAACACACGCATACACATGAACACACACACACACATACACACGCATGCACACACAGAGAGGAACAGTGAGAACCGGATACACAAACAGAAACAGACAGAGTGACATCAACTAGAGAATGAAACAGACAGGATAACTTTACGGGAAGTGGTTAAGGCATTAAGGACTTACCGACCGGCCGATGACAGTACACTTGAAGTTGTCGGGATAATTCTGGTGAGGGAAACCTGAAGATGTCCAAAGGTAAAGCCGATCCACCTCGCGAAGTCGACAGCCGGGGCCGGTAGTAGTGTTGATGGTGGTGGTGGTGGTGAATATAGTGGAGGTGGTGGTGAGAGTGGTAGAGGTGGTGGTGATTGTTTTTGGAGTGGTGGTGGTGGTGGTGGTTGTAGGAGAAGTCATGGTGGTGGTAGTGGTTGTAGGAGGAGTCTTGATGGTGGTAGTGGTTGTAGGAGGAGTCTTGATGGTGGTAGTGGTTGTAGGAGAAGTCTTGGTGGTGGTAGTGGTTGTAGGAGGAGTCTTGATGGTGGTAGTGGTTGTAGGAGAAGTCTTGGTGGTGGTAGTGGTCGTAGGAGGAATCTTGATGGTGGTAGTGGTTGTAGGAGAAGTCTTGGTGGTGGTAGTGGTCGTAGAAGTCTTGATGGTGGTAGTGGTTGTAGGAGGAGTCTTGATGGTGGTAGTGGTTGTAGGAGAAGTCTTGGTGGTGGTAGTGGTTGTAGGAGGAGTCTTGATGGTGGTAGTGGTTGTAGGAGAAGTCTTGGTGGTGGTAGTGGTCGTAGGAGGAATCTTGATGGTGGTAGTGGTTGTAGGAGAAGTCTTGGTGGTGGTAGTGGTCGTAGAAGTCTTGATGGTGGTAGTGGGAGAAGACGAAGTGTTGGTTGAAGTAGTGACAAAAGTGGTAGTTGAAGGAGTACTAATGATAGTTGTTTTAGGAATGATGGTGGTAGTTGTTTTAGGTGTGACGGTGGTGGTTATTTTAGGAGTGAGGGTGGTGGTTGTTTTAGGGGTGATGGTGGTGGTTGTTATAGGAGTGATGGTGGTGGTTGTTATAGGAGTGATGGTGGTGGTTGTTATAGGAGTGATGGTGGTGGTTGTTATAGGAGTGATGGTGGTGGTTGTTATAGGAGTGATGGTGGTGGTTGTTTTAGGAGTGATGGTGGTGGTTGTCTTAGGAGTGATGGTGGTTGTCTTAGAGTGATGGTGGCTGTTTTAGGAGCAATGGTGATGGCTGTTTTGGAGTGATGGTGGTTGTTGTTTTATAATGGTGATGGTTGCTTTAGGAGTGATGGTGGCTATCTTTTAGGAGTGATGGTGGTGGTTGTTTTAGGAGCAAATGGTGGTGGTTGCTTCGAGTAATGACAGGTTGCTTTAGAGTGATGGTGGTGGTTGTTTTGGGAGCAATGGTGGTGGTTGTTTTTGGGAGCAATGGCGGTGGTTGTTTTAGGAATGATGGTGGTGGTAGCTTTTGGAAGCAATGGTGACGGTTTTTGGGAGCAATTGCGGCTTGTTGTTTCGGGAGTATGGCAGGGTTGTCTTAGGAGAGTGATGGTGGTGGTGGCTGTTTTAGGAGCAATGGTGGTGGTTGTTTTAGGAGTGATGGTAGTGGTTGTTTTTGGAGTAATTGTGGTGGTTGTTTTTGGAGTGATGGTGGTGGTTGTTATAGGAGTTATGGTGGTGGTAGTTTTAGGAGTGATGGTGGTGGTTGTTTTTGGAGTGATGGTGGTTGTTGTTTTAGGAGTGATGGTGGTGGTTGTTTTAGGAGTGATGGTGGTGGTCGTAGTAGTAGTGATGGTGGTGGTTGTTTTAGGAATATTGGTGGTGGTTGTTTTAGGAGTGATGGTGGTGGTCGTAGTAGTAGTGATAATGTTTGTTATAGTAGTCGTAGTAATAGTGGTTGTCGTAGTAGTGATGGTTTTAGGCGTAGTTGTAGTAGTAGTAGTAGTAGTAGTAGTAGTAATAATAGTCGTCGTCGTTCTTCTAGTGGTAGAAGAAGTGGTAGTCGTTATGGTGGTCGTGGTGGTGGTCGTGCAGTCAGGTATAGGAACAAATGACAAAGTTGCTGACCATCCAGGGAAGAAATTTGTCTGTGTTTTAAAATATAGGACCATAACACCTGTAGTGGACGTAAACTCCTGACCAGGCATAATATCCTTGTCGCAGTACCTGAAGGAGGGAGAAGGACTCATGGTTACTTGTGAATGGCTTAGATTTGACATAATATCACTACCAATTACCCACTCACATAACCTGAAAGGACTTTTTAATCAAAACGAGAAACTTTTCGACTAACTTATCAAACCAAACTCCCAAAAAATATTCCTATTCTATGTTGTTTTATTGGAAAGAATGACAGATTTTTTTTTTTTTTTAATTTCCTTCCAGTCTCATTTCTTACTTACACTTCACCACTGTAGGGGTTGCTAGTCCTGATCTCGAGGAAGTCTAAGTAACACTTGGGTACGTCACCGAAGTAAAGGTTTCGGCCGTATAAGGAAAAGTTGTGAAAGATAATTCGAGGGTAGTGACACGCCGGAGCCCGGATCACCTTGGAGCACCTCGTGTCTGTGGGGGAAAGCGATAATATAGTCAAGTTCATCTTTAATACAATTCCTAAAGCTACAAGTATTAGTATTAGTATTATATTTTAGCTTCACCATGTACAACAATCAACAACCGGAGTCTCTCTCTCTCTCTCTCTCTCTCTCTCTCTCTCTCTCTCTCTCTCTCTCTCTCTCTCGCTCTCTCTCTTTCCAGGTGAAGATGGCATGTTATTGAAGTTCTCAGGGGGGGAAGAATGTCGTTACAATGACGAATTTTATTATTGTACTTTACCTCTATCATAGTTGTGTGGGAAGTTAGGAGACGCCACGTTCCCGGCCGCCGTTATAACTTCACTGCAGTTGGAGAGTTGCACATCTACAAGACAAGGAGTTAGCGGCATTACTGAAGTTTCTCACCTTCTTGTTTCAGGTCAATACAACAACAGTAGTGGGTGGACGTCTTACCGTAGTAGCCGCCGGTGACAAGTTCACAGTGTTCACCAGAAGTACCGTGACGACAGATACAGGTACTGTTGGCACCGGTGTAACCTTCGTTCTCACAGGGGTCTATGCACAGCCCATAGTTCTTCAACCACTTGCCTGTGGACAGAGATACAGCTTACAGTACATAAGGCACCCATTTATAGCTAAGCACTTAACATTGGCCCATTCGACACTGCGTCAATACAGCAGCTGAAATCTCTGTCACATACAAATACCAGGAGACGTAGTAAAATAGTATCACACACACACACACATATACAAAGTACATCATGACAAACGTACATTACCAGAGTACCACAACAATGTCACCGCCACCTACCAGTACAGTTATACATGCGGTTGACCAACAACTTATCACGATGCGACAGACCGTCTCGCTGACCTAGCAGTCCTTGGTAAAGAAGATTTTTGGTGGCAATGGTCAGTCTCCCTTTGCGTGAAAATGCCTGTCAAATATAAAATAAAGTTAAGCAATAACTAAAATAAAATACTCACTCAGATTGTATTTGTTTCCCGCGTATACAAATATCACATAAGGATCTTGACTACATGAAGAAGATCTTACCCTAGAGGCGTAGTGCATGATGGAGGTGAAGTCGTAAGGGACGCCGTAGGTGTTGATCACTTTCTCAGTCAACTTCTTAAATCGTCCTAGTTTATCGGGGATGATGTTCTCAGTGTTAACGTGGATGTGATCGTCTCGGTCTGGTCGGGAGTGTTCATGGTTCAAGCCGAGGGCGTGACCGACCTGCTGTATGACGGTGCCAAGCTAAAGGAAAAGAGGTGATAAAGTAACCACAAAAGCCGATAGGAAACAATTAAATGATATGCTTTATTTTTTCAATACCTTACCTTTATTTACATTATCTTATTTCGTTTTTTAAGAGAAGAAGAAAACAGTAAATAAAATATTCACTTACTTCCTGGCAGCAAGATCCTAGAGAGATATCCTGGCCGGTGCGCGAGACTAGGCCGACGTGGGACCAACACTTAGGTCCATCTATGAACCTCAGGTGTGGACCGGAAGTATTGGTCGTCTCCTTAAACTTAATGCAGGTGTGTTTCATCCAGTGGTTTAGACCTTCACTGATTAACTTCCTCCTGGACAAACCTGCAATAAATACATCCATGAATTAATTTATTCCGGTTTATTTTATTTTTTTTCTTCATTTGATTCATTATGATTTGTTTATATTACCAATCTAGTCGACAGATACAGTACAACATTATCATACACTCACCTATTGGTATTTTTTTTTTATTATTATTATTACTATTATTATTTTATTTAAGAAAAGTGGAAACTCTCTCCCTTGTTTTGTTTTTATTTAAGTATAATATCACTGTCACTAACGTCCGAGCTACCTGGTAGAAAATACCTTCCAAAGATAATACAATTAATGGTAGAGCGGAAGACCATAATAGAAAACGGGGTATCTCTATGTCCTTCCACACGACACTCGCCATCAAATTTACATATTACAACCATTTATTTTCCGGCCTTATGTCTACTACTACTACTACCTGTACCTCCCCATAAATAGTCAACGTGATACTTACTTATATTGACAAAGATGTAAGGGACGAGTGGCCAGCCATCAGGGCCAGGTGGCCAGTGGTGTCTTGTACCAGCTATGGCCTTCCTCTCCTCAACAGGTCGCTGCTGCTCGGACGTCAACATTGCGTCCTCCTCGGAGATGTCCCTCGATGTGGCAGCTTCACGGTGGGTATGCTCGAGGCCACCCACCTGAACAGAGAGCGAGCATGTATATTTTCAGTTCTCGGTATGTATATATGTATGTATGTATGTATGTATGTATGTATGTCACATGGATAGTTCTGTTGTATTTTTTGGGGGGATGACTTTGTTACAATAACTTATAAATCATAACAATGAAATCCCGCTGCAGAAGATAAACTACAGACAGACAACAGCACTGTCTATTTCTACAGTAACCTACTGTACAGTCCTCTTAGCAGTGTCGAAGAAAACTGTAGATTAAGGTCGAAATATACAGTGCTTCGTGTGTGTGTGTGTGTGTGTGTGTGTGTGTGTGTGTGTGTGTGTGTGTTTTTTTTCTTCTCCTACAGCGGGATATCAGTGAAATCTATAGAGGATTATGTAGCTGCTGCCACAAAACTACGCTTGGAATTTATAGTGCAGAATAATGTAACCAATATTTAGTATTTTGTAAAACGAAAATTTCACAGTAATCTACTTCTCATAATAAACTCAGCGTCATGTTAGATGACTGACGGATCGTTTGCTAAACACCTGATTGCCAACTTCACCAACCGAGCAAGACTCACAACTCGCAAGGAAGATTCGAATCGATCTCCATCCCTCGTGCTTTTACTGTTTTTACTAAGGAAGTTGTGTATACAGTATAGTAACACAATATTTTTCCTGAGCTTTATTTTCGTGATTCCTTTATAAATATTCACTGGTCACCAAAATATCTTACGGTCTCATTACGAGGTCCCTTACAAAAGTGACTTTACCTTCTCCGAAGCAGAGACTCGTAATGTGTTCAGTAACGCAGCGTTAAAGTACAACAACACTCCAGCGTCCTTTTAAAATAGTTATGACTGTCACCAACAAATGTTTTATGTGAACACACACGCACAGTATGGAAAAATATGCAACTATTCTGATTCATACATATTCTTCTCATACTAAGATACAGATTAACGCCAGCAAAACAATTCTATTACCAGGACTTTACCCTCGCCAAGCAGACACAGAGCTCTGGACGAAGGTAATCGTCCACCCACTCGTTAATGGGTAAGAATAATCATCTTCCCATATTCATAAAAGTTGTGGAGCTTCACCTGCTGTCTGGTACATGATATATAGGCAGAAAATGTAAATAGTGAATGTGCGAGTAATCATCAGATTTTCTCATATATTATTCAGAAGCAAATTACCTTGCAAAATAAAGCCACAAAAATATTTCGATCATTGAAGAGATATAAACTATATCATATAAGTTCATTTATATAAGGCTTTTTTTCCTCAAAGCATCTTCAGTGTCGTTTCTAACTGCTCTATACTTTTGTTATTCCAAACAATGACGTAAACAAAATCTTATATGTGTGTGAAGATAAGTTCCATCGCCAACGTCAACAAGCAGAGCACAAAGGGGGAAAGGGAAATGAGTAACACGATAACACTAACACACAAAACTGCTGAAAACAATCCATCGACTTGAAGCCTTGGTGTATTGTGTATCAGTTGTAACTATATCCTGGTGAAGCTGATGTGACGTATATATTAACTCCAGCGGACCATTGATGCTGAGCCACTCCATAGTAACTGTATAACGGGGAATAAGTAGAGGTTTTTTGTGAGTGAAGGTAGAAACTAAATGTGAGGTGAGCTAAACGGAGGAGGGATTTGCTTAAATAAGTTACTGACTGAGGGTGTCAGGCTGGCCAGGTGGACAGTATGAGGTTGGCCAGGTGGATAATGTGAGGTTGGCCCAGTGGACAGCATGAGGTTGGCCAGGTGGATAATGTGAGGTTGGCCAAGTGGACAGTGTAAGGTTGGCCAGGTGGACAATTTGGTGTTGACCAAGTGGAAAGAGTGTGAGGTTGGCCATGTAAACGGAGACATACCTAATAGAAGTGTGAGGTAGATCAGGTGGGGAGGAACATACCTGCGGCGCACATTTCACCACACTGAGGAAACTTGCAGCAGCCACACACCACCACGTTAGCGTCGCCATGTTGACTTGCTCACAGCTGGTCGACGTCTGCCGCTGCCACTCTCTCCTCCCCTCCAATACTCATGCAAACCCTTACTTACCCTTAACACCTACACATGCCTAAGCAACTAACCCAACACACCTTATTCAATAACATGACTAATGGTGAGTTAAAGACAATCAGATACGTTTCTTTTTACCTGTCTAGTATCACCTGACAATTCTAAAGTGATGATCCTTTATACCAAAATTGTTATCATGATTGTTATCGTTTGTGAGATGTTGCTAAACTTGATTTAAACAAAACGTATAGATTAACATTATACATCATTATTTGTACATGTTGCAACACTCGATTAGGCTGTGGAAGCAAAAATATCACTAAACAATGTAGTGAAGCAGACAAATGTGATTCTGTTCTGAAATCATTAACTTGATAATACAAAAAAAAAACTCGAGATGGATGACCTGCAAGGATCACTTATAAAACAGCGTTACGTACTAGTGTACCAAAAGGTAATTACATATAAAATGACAGGATGTCTCAACTACGGAGACCTGCTGCGAGGGTTTATCTGGGTGGTGTAAAAAACTCGTGACAATATTATGACTGGATGAACGATCGAGCTAGGTGTAGGGCACATGTATATGCCGTATACTGACCGTAGTAAGTTCTTCATCTGTCGCACATGAGACTCACTGTTTACGTTAGACACGTTATTAATGAAGTTTTAAAGACATTGACCTCTTAAAGCTACAACCAGACATGTATTGACGTTAGTAAAATCTACCCTGCCCTCCCTCAAGACTCATGACGTTGAAAAAATGTGGCGAATCTTTGATCACACTTCATGACTTTTAAGTCCTGAAGGAAAGAAATATTTTGAGGATAAAATAGATAACTTCCATCCATCCATTACGAATAGTTGTCAGGAATTAATAAGAGATTGGGTACAAGAAAGACTATTACAGCAGGTACAGTACAGGTGTTATTGTAGTGGATGAGTTGCACAATTTCCTCAACATTTAATGGACTACTCTCGGTATAAACTGTGTAACATAATACGATTAACATTGTACGGTTTATTATCTATGGAATAATAACCACAACGGATTTAATATCAATGAATACTGTATAACTAAAACCTTTATACATAGATAAAGGCATTTATAATTTTATGTTTTCGCTAGTAAAGGAATCTTGGAAAAAAATCTTATAGTGATGCGGTCTGGTCTTGCGATGTATAAATATCGATTAGTCACGCCAAGATGCATAGGAATTACCCCAACAATCAAAAGAAGAAGCCACTGTACCCCGGTTGTGTTGTCCTGTTACAAGAAATAAAGATTGACAACATTATACGTGCGATAATAACTACTCAAAGATATTTACAAGATTCACCCCACCTGCCCGTAGAAGACGAGGACTATGATAAAGATAATTAACATTTTATATTGGTTATACCTAAACTAACTGTCAACAACTCATTCAAAAATTCCTCTTGAAATGATAATGAGGAAGAACTGTCAGGGGAAGAGGAAGAAATTCATAAATCATAGAGAAAAAATTCAATCGTTGAAATATGCAAAAGTCGTAAATTATTTCAGAAATTTCTTTGGCAATTCTTAATTAATATAGATGATTTAATTATGTTTTACGTTTTTTTCTATTACTGATAATTTAATTTCTTGTTAAGTTTAAATAAAGCGTTCACAGCTAATACGTTTCATTAAGGTGTTAGTAAAACGATTTAATGTTGATATTAGTATTGACTTTTCTGGCTCAACTTCCTACCCCAAAATCAAAGAGAGAGAGAGAGAGAGAGAGAGAGAGAGAGAGAGAGAGAGAGAGAGAGAGAGTCGTCTTCTGTAAGATATTATAATCACTCAACAGTAATTAGGAAGTAACGATACATCACTTGTACTTATTAATAGTCGTCGTCTAGTTTTTGAACCCGACTTAGTTTCTCTAGGTAAACACTTCACCCAACACCACAATAACTAGACACATAACTCATAATTACTGTAAAGATAATAAACAACAAGGACATTTTTCCTCTATTAGAAATTAACATAAGGTTGGTATATCATTAGCCTTCAAGGACACTGTCACTGCTGAGTGTGGCAAGACTGAGGAGCACTGTTACCTCCATGTCCCGGCGGCCAACTTCCCCGTCGTAAGGTCTGACAATAAATAAGCTAGGTTTAGCACAGAGCAACATTTACAAAATTACCAATTACTCATCGCTGTACATCTTGTTAGACAGTTTCGCGCGAAAGATAAATTAGAATAATTCATTTCACGAAAATTTTACAATATTTTAGCAAATATGATAGGAACGTATATACTGCACAGCAATGTTACATTATGAACTGCGAATATCATGAGACTTTATCAACAGAATATATATATATATATATATATATATATATATATATATATATATATATATATATATATATATATATATATATATATATATATATATATATATATATATATAACTTAATACAATCATATAATGTGGTTTAGCATTTTTCCTGGTAATGACGACATAGAGAGTTGGTATCAGTTACTATGCAGCCAATTATGGTTCATAAATTCATAAAGTCACGGAAATTCCTTTGTTTCAGCCAATTACCATTGAGTTTTCATTTGTCACTCAATCAGCGCCTTCCTTTCAAACATAATTTATATTTTTGCTGCGTGTGTCCTTTTGCAGCGTCCATTCCTCTTATGATGTTCTCAGTAATGGTATGTGACGGTGTCCATTCAGTGAAGTGAAAATTATTAAAAATATTTAGATGATAACGATAATTGTTTATGTTCTTTGAGTCTCACTGTGTAATGTCAGTGTTTTACTCGTCAGGTGAGTAGTCCTACACAACTTCCTCAAGGAGATCGCTCGTGCCTGTCCTCCTTCCCAGTCGGTGAGTACCATGACTGCCAATAACACCACGTTACCTCACTTTGTCGAGTCCATCGCATCGTATCAATGAGAGAAAAGTTAAAAGAAAGGAGGAAAATTACTACCACAAAGTGGAAGTCAGCATTTTTACCACTCCACACTCTCCAGGCTTCTATCACCATTTTTTTATGGATAGATCCTTTGATTTTCTCTCAGCTATACCCTAAAAAATAAAATTCCAACATGCGAGAATATGCTCTTCAATAATTTTAAGTTATGGAAATGTTGGTTCTGAGACTCTGAGCGACATCTTTCCATCTTTCTTGTCGGGTCCAACCACCTGGACTCCAAGAGACTACTTTATCCCGTGCACCCATGACTACAGTTTAGGTTTTCTTACGTTAGGTTTGGTTCTTTCGTTACATTTTTATCCCCGCATTTTCCTTCTGCTCCTACGCCCTGCCCACCATTGTTGGGGTAAATATTGACGGAGTAGAAAGGGTCACAACTTTTCCTCAAACGCTCAATATCACCATTATTAGCATGAATACCTGCATTATAGATGTTTTTCTTGCCTAAATCGTTTACTGGAGTTTTCACAATAACAACCCAGTGATCCCACTGTTCTTATCATTCGCTGAAAGTTGTAGCCCTCCTGTTGTTCTCAGGATAAAATCTTAAGTTTAGGCGTAAGGAACAAGCATGCATATATACACTAAAAGCTATGGTTACTGCGTCCATTCCTGAAATTTTCTCAAAGTCTGAACACGTTTCAGAAAACGTTATTAATGCAATATTTAAGGGAATACCATGCTGTTACATTTATTCTACTTGTTAGTACTTTTACTGCTTGATAACTTTTTCCATTGCAGTATTATCCAGAAATAACCTGCCCAGATTTATTAAATTCTAAACTATATTCATATATTATTTTTAGCGCTTTTTGTTGCGTACTAAGCAGTGAAGTAGCGACAGGGGGCATCACAATACACAACACAGTGGTCAGATGTTATGATTTCAATCAAGAAAGTGAATTTCCTGATGACTCACGATAGGTGCAGTAAGATTTCTAATCGGCCCAGAAAAAATAGCTTAGGTAATGACTATTAATCTAGACTAAAGAAAAATACTACTGTGTAAAAGATTTGTTTGTCACGGGTTTCAAGTGAGTGCGGAACTTTCAATAGCCGGATCGCGCTCCTGCACAGTGAATTTAATAACAATATAATATCACGTGCATATTGCTTTTTTCTATTGCTCATTATTTTATTTTTCCGTAAATATCGTTTGCTTTTTATGTAATTTAAGTGTTTGGTAATAATTTTCCACCACATCTCTCCTCCCTCTAGTATGGTGGTTCATTTAATACAAAAATATAAAAAGCGTATTGAGTGATTTTGACGACAGAATTTGCTGAGTTGAAGTTGATCATCATGTGGTCCAAGATTAATTCATACGTAAGAGCAAAAGAACATAAGAATGGAGATAACTGCAGCGGGCCTATTGGCCTATATTAGGTAGTCCCAACCACTATTGCTCATATATCCATCCAATCAATGTTTGAAGGTATCCAGCGTTTTCGAGTTAATGATGATGTTTGATAACTTGTTCCACTCGTCCACTACTCTATTTTCAAACCAATGTTCAACTATTTCGCGCTTAAATCTAAATTTGTCGAATTAAAAACCATTGTTACGAGCTTGCTCCTAGTTGGATAGTTTGAGTACCTTTGTTGTATCACTTATATATAGCCGTGACTTCCATTTATATACCTCTATCATATCGCCCCTCACTCTACGTCTCTCTAGGAAGTACAAATTAAGATGCTTTAACCTGTCTCTGTACTCAAGGTTCCGAATGCCCGGGATTAGTCTTGTAATTCTCCTCCGAATAATTTCTAAAGATTCTTTATCCATTCTGTAATACGGTGACTAGAATTGAACTACGTAATCTAAGTGAGGTCTCACAAGCGCAATATATAGTTTTAGGATGACCTCGCTAGTCTTGTTGCTAACACTCCTTTGTATGAACCCAAGTACTTTATTAGCCTCGTTTCGAGCAAATACACATTGTTTACTTGGCTTAAGATTCCTACTTATCATTACTCCTAAA